ACAACGTTTGCATTTAAAAATCACCTAAGTTAATAAGTCCCAAAAGGTGAAGTCGGTTGTGATTGGGATTTTGATTTTGATTGCGATTTTGATTTCCTTTTGCTTGGAACCATATGAGCTTTGGATTTTGATGAGGATCCATATTTTGGTAGAGGAAAAGATGATTGTGATGGCACTGGTGATCCACAGGTTAACATTGTATGACCACTTTCCTTGCACCGACTACATATTGATATCCTCTTCTCTTCACCCTTAGACGGTATACGATCGTGATTTTTTGGTCGGCCAGGTAGCATGTTGTCCATGACTGGTGGCAAAACTATTTGTAAGTCATCTGGTATATCCCACTCAGAAGGATGTGGAATAGGGTAGACAATCTCGGCATAAGTCTGTCGATATACTTCTGTAGTGTAGCAATCCATAGCGTATGCGCTTGAATCATCTTAGTTTAGATGAAGAGCAACTTTTATAACATGGCCACACGGATAACCAGATGTTTGTCATTTTATACAACTACACGTCTTTGCATTTAGATCGACAAGCCCATTTAAGTTATTATCCAATACTTCAAACAAAGTGTTTGAACATGGTTCAACTCTCCATGACATTGACTTCACAACACGTTTCGTTATCTTTTTTTCAGTCCATGGTGTAACACGACGTTCCAATGTTCCTGTAAATTTAAATAAATAATACTTAGTAAAATATATTAAATATGATAAGTTACGAATTTAAAGAAATAATACCTGCATGATTTCTTTTCTTGTAGTACCACTGTTGAATAGAGGCTCGAAAAAACTCCATTAGCATAGTAATGGATAATTTTCGGGAATGACGACTTAGAGCGTTGATTGATTCTGCACTATTAAACGTCATGAAACCATATCTTGCTCCAAGTTGATGTACTCTTGACCATCTTTCAAACCCGACATCTTCTAGTGTTTGAGCACATTGAGGCAAAACACGTCTTAAACAATTTATATGCTTATTAAAATCCACTTCCCGATAAGCTTTTATAGCCTTCCAGTATGTCCATTTGTGATTTTTTATACCTGCAGACCTTGATTTTAGATTTTTGTACAAATGAACACCACAAAATCCATGAAAAGCATATGGGAAATACCTTCTAATAGCATTGTCAATTGAGTTTGCCCTATCGGATATGATTTTCAGATTACTAATATGACATATGCAATCCCTAAGATGTCCCATAAACCATGTCCATGAATCAGAGGTTTCAGATTTGCCAACCCCGTAAGCTATTGGCAGTATCCCATTGTTAGCATCCATGGCTACTGCTAATAAGTTTACTCCAAGGTATCAACCTTTCAAATGTGCTCCGTCAACTATAATAACTGGGCGCATGTAAGTAATAAACGAATGAATCTACAAAATAATATACACAAGAAATATAATCATTTAAATGTGAAATGCATGTAACTAATAAAAATGAGTCAACAAAATTATATTGATTTACTAACCGCAACACCAATGGCGATAAACAGCAACTCAAAGCGTCCATCTCTATCTGTTTTGATATAAGTTACCGACCTAGGATTTTTCAGCTTTAAATTGTGACAATAAGCCTGCAGTTGGGCAAACGATGCTTTTGGAAACCCCCTCAACAATTCCAAGGTGTAACATTTGGCTCTCCAAGCTTGAGAATATGAGATACTAATCTTGAACCAAGAATTCATGTCAGTCATAATTTCATGTCCCTGATATACTCTGCCATTCAAAAACATTAACTCAACCAAAAAACCACCCAACACCTTTTTGTCTGCATGTCTATGGTGAGGAAAAACTTGGGTTCTTGAACATGTATGTTTATCAATAAAAGTCCTAACTTGAAACATTTCGCAATCTTTTATCCTCTTTGCAATCATACGCCACGTACAGTTTTTGTCAATCATACACCTTGTTTCGAAATGATCTTTGCTTGATTTGTTAACTTTTAGTTGATAGTCATCTTCCACACATTTCGTATACAAAGTTATCTTCAAGTCTTCCTTTGTATCAAAACAATCATCTTTCTTGATATAAATAACTTTTGTGTAACAATCAACTGCTATCTTTACCAACTCTTCTTCCGGTATCTGAAGTAATTCTGGCATATTCCAGTTATACTCTCGTGGTATTTTCTTCTTTTTCTTTTCTTCGGGGTCTTCTTCTTCTTCTTCTTCTTCAGGGTTATATGAATTACAGAATAGATGTTTAACATGTTCATTCAGAGTCGTAACTTCCTCCTCATTATCATCAACAACATCTTCCTCGGCGGCGGCTGTTTAATCATCAAAATTTGGGTATTGACCAATATCAAAATCATTACACGCAAGGTCTGTTTCTTCTTCTGAAACATCATCAAAATCCGAGTATTGACCAAGATCAAAGTCCGGGTATTGACCAAGATCAAATTTCGAATACTGACTAGCACTCATAATTTTTTCTGTTGGCTCATCATCGTCTAACTGGTCAATACGAAAACCGAAATTTGGTGCTAAAAGTTGATTGAGATTTGGATTAGGGAAAGGTTGTGAGTTTTGAGATTGTGTTTGGGATTAGGGAAAGGTTGATAACAATGTTGTACATTGTGAGCACCATAAACTGGGGTTAAAGAACTTAGTTGATTACTACCCGCTACTGACCCAACTTCACTACTTCTAGGTTCAACAACATACAATGTAACATCATCTTCTTGTGAAACACTAATGTAACCAATGAATCGTTCAACATCTTCATTGTCGGTTAATAAATAAACTTTACATTTTCTCTAATAAGATAACCTAAATCTACTTAGGGGCTCTAAATTCAATTTATTTGCAACACATAACATTAGAGTTTCATAAGTTAATTTTTTTAATGACAATTTTAATTGACGATTCATGGGTAAAGACATATATTATAAAACACCATGAACATTCTCCCATGACCCTCCAAAACACAAATTTATCCAAACATGATCAACATTAGATGATTTCATTCTACAAATTAGTGAAAAATATACCTTTATTAAGTTGATAGTTGATAATTTGGGAGAGAAATCATTGAAAAATTATATAGAAATAAAATTATGTAAAAAAAATTAGAGATGGGGAAAGATGTCGTTGGATATAGGAACGGATGTCGTCGGAGAGAGTGATAGATGGAGATGGAATGAGTTGCGATTTAGGGATTTATATTATGAGTTGCTGCTGCTGCGTAGTTTATATACCATAAACATTTGTGTTGCAAAAATAAAAGCTGTTGCGAAATTAAAATTCGTGTTGCGAATTCAAAAATCGAGTTGCGAAAACAAAATTCGTGTTGCGATTTAGAAAATCTTGTTGCGAAAAGGAAACTTGTGTTGCGAAAAAGAAATTCGCGTTGCGAATTCAGAAATCGAGTTGCGAATTGAAATTCCGTGTTGAGAATTTGAAATCGCGTTGCGATTGCAAAAACTGAGTTGCGAATTTGGGAAATTCGCGTTGCGAATTTGGAAACTGTGTTGCGAAATTGGAGTTCGCGTTACGAATTTGTTGTTCATTTTCGCAAATCAAAATTTTTTTTGATTAAAATCGTATATTATAAGACATTTTCGATCACTGAAATTATTTTCTATTCTTAATAACTCCATGCGTTAAACATTACGTTACATCTTACCTACCGATAGTTGAAACGTTAAAAATAAAATAAAATAATTATTTTAAGAATTAGAAATCAAGCAAACGTAACAGCAACAGGTTGGCTGTCGTTGTCCCTTAGACTTGGTACTGTTTTCAGTTCCATCAATTCTTAATTCATTTTTTAAATACTTGAATTTTTTTTATGAAAAATAAAAAATAAGACTTTAATAAAATATATATCTAAATCGTGAAATCTTTTAAACTACAAAAATTAAATTCTCTGTAGCAATATTCATACGATTTTAATAAATATAATAAAAATTGATAAAAAGATCACATTGGTATTTTAATTATCATTTATAAATTAAATTAAATATTGATTTTGTAATTAATGTGTCATATCATCGTTTTGTTACATCGTTTAATACTTTTTTTATAGTTGGGGAAGAAGCATGCCTCGAACCGTAGACGAAAAGTCTTACATGCTATTTAATCATTAAAACCATAGAGTAATGTGGTAAATCAACTATAATAGTGACCATAATATACCTTTATTAAACATTAATGTTAAAAACACAAACTTACTCAAATATGAATTATAATTTATATATTTATTTAGTATATTTATATTAATAAATTTTAAACAAAAATAACTATAAAATATGTTTTATATAATATCTACATTATTTAAATTCTTTTAAACTTAAATAAAAAAGTATTAAAAATATATAAATATATTTAATTTTATATTCCTTTGTACATTACACAATTATAATTAAATTAAATATATATAATAATAGGGTAAAAAACATAAATAAAATATTATTTTGTTGAGTGGGATATCTTTAGTTATGTGGTCGGTCATAATCTTAATAATTAAATATTATATTATTTGTATAAGATTTCAATGAATATCTCAGAGGGAGGACACGATACAAAAATCGTTTAAGTCATAGAACACTTACCATGACTTATCTTTCAATGTCGAAATCTCGAACAATAATCCAATTAGGAACTTGGGAATAACGATGATTAAATTACACAGTTGATGAAACTTGAAAGATTGAATGAAACAACTAGAGAGCAAAGGGTTTCTAGGAGATTTATTATTTTTAATGTCAAATTTAAATGACTGTTAATTTTTTTAATAAAAAAATATTAATTTATAACAAATAAATAATCAAATAATTATATTTTAACTTTTAAAAATTATAACTCAACAAAGTAGGAAGGAGATTATATTCACGCAAAATAATGATGTGGGAATGATTGAGTACAGCTAAATATTACCCATCCAACGAATATATGAAGAGTGGGGTCCAGTTTGGAGAGACAATTAAACAAAACATCCACTAGGCCACTACCTACTTGAACACATTGTTTTGTATTATTATCAAACTCCTTCCTCTACCTCATCCTCATCCGCAGTTTAGATCTGTCGGTGCAGCTGCTGAATTCTCCCGCCATTTCCGCCGTGTGTTCTTCCGGAGCTTGATCATGTACGGAAGAGATCCGTGGGGAGGTCCCCTGGAGATAAACACCACCGATTCCGCCACCGACGACGACCGGAGCAGGAATCTCCAGGACCTGGACAGGGCTGCACTATCTCGCCCCTTGGACGAGACTCAGCAAAGCTGGCTGCTCGGCCCCACCGAGCAGAAGAAGAAGAAGAAGTACGTTGATCTGGGATGCATAATTGTCAGCCGCAAGATCTTCGTCTGGACCGTGGGGACCCTCCTCGTCTCCGGCTTCCTAGCCGGATTCATCACCCTCATCGTCAAGACGGTTCCACGTCATCATCACCGCCACGCTCCTCCCGATAACTACACTCTTGCTCTTCACAAGGCGCTCATGTTCTTCAATGCTCAACGTTGTACGTTTCCTCTCTCTCCCTTTCACTTTAGTTGATGTGATGTGGATTTAACATGAAATGTTGTCATTCGTTTTGATTTTGATTACGTTGTGTTTATCACAGTTATTATGTTATCTGTTGTGATTGATGTGATTACGCTTTACACTATTATTTTAGATAATAATAGTTTTGACAGTGTTACTTTTATAAAGCGGCCGTTGTATCGGCAACAAACAGTTATTTAAATCCCTAAATTCAACTTCAGGTCTATAAGGAAATTGGAAAATGGAGCATGATTACATTGCTAAATTGGGTATTGATTAGATTAACTTGAGATCAAGTCAACAGTTGTTTCTACAACCTAATAATAGCTGTAATTAAATACACACACTTTTACTTGTGTTATTGTTGAATTATTTGTGATCTAATATATATATATATATATATATGGATCCATTGTAGCCGGGAAGCTGCCCAAGCATAATAATGTGTCGTGGAGAGGGAACTCAGGGCTCCAAGATGGCAAATCCGATCCCTCCGTTCTGATGAAAGATCTGGTCGGCGGATATTACGATGCCGGAGATGCTATCAAGTTTAACTTTCCTAAATCTTTTGCACTAACAATGTTGAGCTGGAGTGTCATCGAATACAGTGCTAAATACGAGGCAGCCGGTGAGCTCAATCATGTTAAAGAGATCATTAAATGGGGTACTGATTATCTTCTCAAGACCTTCAACAATACTGCTGATACGATTGACAGGATTGCAGCGCAGGTATAATTTTAGTGTTATACTTTGTGTTCATTTCCAATCGACCATATATTACTCATGCTAACTTATGGATTCGCAGGTCGGGGTAGGAGATACATCCGGAGGCAGTACTCCCAATGATCATTATTGCTGGATGCGTCCCGAGGACATTGATTACCCACGTCCTGTATATGAATGTCATAGTTGCTCCGATCTTGCTGCCGAAATGGCTGCTGCTTTGGCTTCTGCTTCCATCGTTTTCAAAGACAGCAAGGCGTACTCTCAAAAGCTTGTCCATGGTGCCCAGACACTCTTTAAGTTCGCCAGGGATCAAAGAGGCAGATATAGTGCTGGTGGTTCTGACGCTGCTATCTTTTATAATTCCTCGAGTTACTGGGACGAATTTGTTTGGGGTGGATCCTGGCTATACTTTGCCACCGGGAACTCGTCCTTCCTTCAGTTAGCTACTCATCCTAAACTTGCCAAGCATGCTGGTGCTTTCTGGGGAGGCCCAGATTATGGTGTTCTTAGCTGGGATAATAAGCTTCCTGCTGCACAGGTAAACCCTTCTGCTTGTGTTTCTAGTTTTGTTCCTTGTATTTCGAAATCCCCTTGATTTTTGTGGCCTAGACTATTTGTATTGTTCACAGTATAGACAATCACACATTTTCAGGATCAGATTTTACTGTTTCAAAGTATAAACAATCTTCCTCTACGGTTTTGTTGATGTCCATCTATAGACTTCTTGTAAATAGCTTCCATGTTCATTGCTGATGTAACCAATGTTTTGTGTTCTAGGTGCTTCTGAGCCGGCTGAGATTGTTTTTGAGTCCCGGGTATCCATACGAGGAAATATTGAGTACTTTTCATAATCAAACCAGCATCATTATGTGCTCATTCCTTCCGGTTTTTACTAGCTTTAATAGAACAAAGGGTAAACATATCTGCTCCTTTTGACCATCTAATACTTAAATGAGTTTGTTACGTTGTTTTCCATAACCGTTTTCTTTGGACATTGCGCAGGAGGTTTGATTCAGTTAAACCATGGAAGGCCTCAGCCTCTGCAATACGTTGTCAATGCAGCCTTCCTAGCGGCCGTATACAGTGATTATCTTGATGCTGCTGATACACCTGGATGGTATTGTGGTCCCAATTTCTATTCGACTGATGTCCTGCGTGAATTTTCAAAAACACAGGTATGTTTTAGTCTTGTCTTATGGCTAAGACATGCTGAGGTAAGGTGGCCATTAATTTGTTCTTGTGGCTGTCATTTTGGCAGATTGATTATATTCTCGGCAAAAATCCTCGGAAAATGAGCTATGTTGTTGGCTTTGGTAACCATTACCCCAAGCATGTTCACCATAGAGGCGCATCTATCCCCAAGAACAATGTCAAATATAGCTGTAAAGGGGGATGGAAATGGAGGGATACGACGAAGCCGAACCTGAACACACTTATGGGAGCCATGGTTGCCGGACCTGATAAGCACGATGGATTCCGTGACGTTCGCACCAACTACAACTACACAGAGCCAACTCTTGCAGGCAATGCGGGTTTGGTTGCTGCACTCGTGGCATTGTCTGGTGACGGGTCAGCCGGGATAGACAAGAACACCATTTTTTCTGCGGTTCCACCAATGTTTCCCACACCGCCACCGCCTCCGGCACCTTGGAAACCATGAAGACGTTTTCGATATTTTTCCGTTCGTGTTGTGTGACTTACAATGATGATTTTAGAATTAGTTTTTGGTACCCTAATGACCTTGAAAGTGAAAGAAAAACACGGAAAGGAAAGACAGGAGACGAGCAATGGAACAACCTGCACAAAACTAGTGGTGGTGGGCCGGGCAGTCAGCTTGGGGAATCATACAAGCATTCAACCTTTGATAATTTTGTATATGAAAGTCTATTTGGAATTTGTGGTATACGGACAAGTGTGCATGTATGATATGATGTATTATTTGAAACACTCCAAAACCAGATTCATAATAAATTTATGTTTGATGTCTGATTGTTGCATAAATCCCGCCTTTCAAGGTTCTTTAAGGTTTTTCTTTCAACTGCTAACTTACCTACATTAACATATTTAATGTTTCATATTGAGAATGATAATAATATTGATACGATGATGATAGTATTGATATGATGATTGACGCTCGTAATACTAATAGTCTAATACAAAGCTCATGCAGTAATATGCGTATAGTTTATAAAAGTTATTACGCATTATTCTAGGTGGTATGCCTCTCACCATGGGTTAGTAGAAATTTTATAATGAAGCTTTATATTATTACCAAAAAAAATTTATATGTTAAAACAAGTTTATTTATTAAACCAAAATCCACTCCATTTAACATAGGCTATTATGATGATTACATTGACAATTAAGTCCCTACAAATAAAACATAAAATGAGATAAGAGATGGTGGTTTTTTTTTTTTTGACATTTTCACAATGTTTTAATATTTTCATTAAATCAGTTGTTGAAATTGACGACGGTACTGTCTTATATGAAAAATATAAATAACTCTTGTTATTAATAGATGTTCTAGACGACAATTAAAATATACTTTGTATTGTACTTATTTTTATGAAAAGGGTAGATATCGAGTCTTGAGGATTTTTCTTCACAAATCTACATAGATATTGTCAAAAGAATACGATATGTGTCTCATTCTAAATCAAGGAGCTACGATCAAATCAACATTTGACTCTTTGAATGGTATATGACAACCTCTTCATGTTGAAAACCATTATTACTTTAATACATTATAATAAACTATTATGAAAAATATAAGAAGGACGATAGATGACAACTTATTGTATGCATGATACACACACTACTACAAAATAGGGTTTTAGTTTCATTCAGTATAACATTTTCATATTGTTGTTCTTCAACTAATTGATACTTATGACACAAACTCACATTGAAACAATGAGGATATGATAGGATAATTGAAAGCTCCTGCCAGTGGAATCTTCAAACTCAACACTGATGGAGTTGTACACCCAATAACAATGAAGGTTGTTTGTGGCGAAACCTTCCGGGACTCTAACGATGAATGAAGAGCTGGTTACTGTAGGAACATTGGTCAATGTCCCATTCTCCACGCATAACGATTATGGTTTTTTTCAAGTTTCCAAGTATCTATAACTCAGGTCATAATCGCATGTTCACACATTAGTATCGATTACAAAAGATACGCAGATCCTATATACCAGTTTTCACAAATTTTTAAGGTATACAAATATGAGTTTCATTAATCAACAATGAAAAAGAATGGAAAGAGATTCAAGTTGTCTAAGATCCATTCGTAATGATATGAATATCAAACCAAAACTGAAGGTCTACACATTAAAAACTCATGCCACAACGGGAACAAATGTTCATCTCTTTTAGTACTTTTTAACCACGGATCATAATCGCATGCTACTGTATTTTCTACTTTATATTCTATAATATAATTTTGGCTTAAATACACTATTGCTCTCTAAACTATACCATTTTTACTGAGTTACCCTTAAAGTATTTTTCGAGATATTTTATATCTTAAAAATTAAACGGTTATCTCGTTTGTCTCAAATTGTTAATTCCGTTAAAAATAACAACAATAAATTACATATTTAGTCACTCAACTATTTTCATTATTTTATTTTGGGTACCAAACTATTTTTCTCAAAATCATCACTAAACTTGAGGTTTTTTTAATGTTTTAGTCGCCTAATTCAATTCAATTTATTTTTCTAAATTTGTAGTAGATAAAATTTATTTGTATCATATATTTTTTATTCGATGCATTGATTTAATTTATACTAATAAATGATATCATAACATAAATAACAAATAACATGTAAATTTAATTTATATGAAAACTAAGAATTCAAAATTTTAAGTATTAATGAAAATTTTTGGTTTACGTTTATCCCTCCAAGCCTCGGCCACCTTAGTAAACCCCACCGTTCCGGCCAAGCAAGCGGCCAAAATGAAGTTGACCAGAAAGAAAGAAGCTGAGATTTTTTCCAACCTTGCTGTGTAAAGAGAACACGAGAGACATGGAGATATGGGAAGGGAGCTTGTTTGCAGTTTTGGCTGTGATATTTAAATAAACATGGAAAAACTAATTTGAATTAAAGGTTTTTTTATTAAATTTTCTCACTCTATTTTTGGTTTTTTAATGAATTTTATTTATTTATGTGATATGAACAAGCTTTCATATATTATAAAATTTTAAAAATAAATTGAATTGAATTGGGTGAATAAAACAAAATAAGAGCTTAAGTTTAGTGATGATTTCGGAAACATACCAAAATATAATCGTGAAAATAGTTGATTGACTAAATATGTAATTTACCCTTATTAATTTTGAAGGAATTAATGGTTTCATATAAGCGAAATAACGATTTAAACTTCAGGAGATAAAATGTCCCGAAAAAATGAGTTTTAGCATCTCTTCATTTGTCAATATTATATTGTACTTAAATAACTAGCATATCTTGAGGAGATAAAATATGTTATCAAACATATTATTGCTTCTCTCTTCTCTTTCAAGTTTTCATTACTTCCATTTCCTTTTTTTATATTATTCTTTTCAAATACGTCCTTCCTTATAATTTGTGTTAATATATCAAAAGAACGAAGCAATACATGGAATTTAAATTAACAAATAACATGAAAATTAACTGTTGATTTGGACAACTAAATAAGTATATATATCAATTTTTTAATATTAGTAAGTTACCATTATGTGGTCAATTTAAATTTTATGACATCAAAAAAAGCCAACTAATCAAAATTAAGGGCGTTCTTGGATGGAGATTAAAGATAAGGGACTAATATAGGGAGATTAAAGATAGGGCAAAGAATTAAAACATTATTTTCAGAAAATTGATGATTAAAATAAGACAACCGAAAATAAAATTACCTCTGTAATCTAGTGACTATGTAGGTAATGTACCTCAATATAAATCAACACAGGAGGATTAAAACGTCTTTAACATTTGTGTCTGAATTTCTGGTTAGTTCACCTTCAAAAAAAAAAAAAACCCACCGATCCGCCGGATCCGTGGCTGAGTCCCCCTCTCCGGCGACATCCAAAGGGATTACCGTAAGTGAATATGAGCTAAAAAAACATTGACAAAAGTCAACCAGACCAGTGGTGGCATTTAGTATATTTTTGATAAATTTTATGTTTTAATTTTCATCATTGAGAAATTGTTGATATTTACAACTGTGCTATCGGTGCCTGAGGCTATTTGATTTTTTCTTTCACAAGATTTGGTGAAACCCTGAGGTAAATGATTCAAAGCTAATTCATATGTTTGATTAATACACATTCCAAGTAATCTTTGGAAAGTGAAGCTTTTAATTTCAGTAATAATAGTTTAATTTTAAAGTTTAATTACTCAAAACATTATTTATATGTGAAATGCTCCTCATTTTTTCCCTTTTGGAATTAAAAAAAAATAGTAAAAGCAACAAACAATGCTTTTTAACTGATCTTTTCCTTTCTGTTATTTACTTAGATAAACTGGAATGATGCTTAGTTGGTACTAATCTGTTATACTCATTACAAGGGAATCTAGTTTTTGAACGAGTCTCTTTTCAAGAATTTGTGGCACCTGTCTAAGTTCCTTAAAACTATAGTGTGCTCAATTAATGATTCTCTGGGTGTAATTGTGGATGACAGCACCATATAATTCACATAGAACACATCGATGCGGTTAATCTTTTAAGCATACACATTCAGACACATACATGCTTTAATGCACATGTTCTCATCCTTGTGAGTGGATTGGCAGTGGAACTAACAGTTTTTGTTTTGCAACTTTAGATGAACGGATAAAGACATGCAGCTGATTATGTGAAAGTCGCTGTTGTTGCTAATCCTCAGGTGTGCTTTTCTTGTTCCTGTTATTCATCCATTGTCACGTTCTAATATATGCTTGACGTCTTTGTCAGATCATGGATAAAACCTCCCTTCCGTTGCCACCTAAATCACTTGCTTTGGAGATTGTACAATTCTATACAGATTTATATATGCGCAGAGCCTTTTTATCATCCATCCTTCCCTTCAAACCAGATGTGGTCTTATTTTTGGGTGATTATTTTGATGCAGGTCCTTTTTTATCAGATGAAGAGTAAGGCCTGTAACCATCTGTTTTTACTTGAAACTTCATTCTAACTGCTTCAGAGTTAATTTATCAATATATATATGCATTTTTCTGGGTTGGGCAAGCTTTGCTAGATGAAATTACTCAACCCATCATCTTTATTTGAAATGAAATTTAAGGCATTAAACACATTCTGGGAAATCACTAAAATTACCTCCTTATTCCAAGCTTATGCTGCTAAATGCATATTAAATGAAATTTTATTAGTACTATTACTACCACCATCAAGATCACTTGTTTGTACTTTGTATCCTCGCTTCACTATTTTCTTTGTCTAATGAGGAACTGGGTTTGCTTTAAAACTCTTCTTTTACCTTTCTAATATAGAGTGCGGTTGACATTCTTTAGTTGATCAGATGGCAGGAATCGTTAAGCCGTCTGAAGCATATGTTTGGTCTATATTCAGAAGAAATATATTTCAATATTAAAGTTTATCACCTTCCTGGAAACCATGATATTGGGTATGCATCTCTTCAGTCTCATATGCCGGAGGTATTTACTCATCTTAATATTAAAAAATGTTGTCTACTTTTTAGAACTAAGCATGATTTTGTTCCAGTAGTTTTATTTGCATCATGGGCATGGAATGGCTATGATATGGAAAAGACAGAAAAGAAATAAAGTAAGAAAAAAGATTAAAACTAAAGGAGATCCAAAAGGCTAAACTATTAGAATAATTTTGGAAGGGAATTGGAGTGTGGAAGAGATTAAAAATGAATGGTTGATCAATGCTCTTAACAGTTACATCAGGGCTAAGCTAAGTTTTACCTTAAATAGGAAGTAAGAAAAAGATAA